CAAAATGGCGGAGGGGAGCCCCAAAATGGTGAGGAATCTTCTCAAAACGGAGGGGGAGACCCCCAAAAACGGGTTGAGGAGCCCCAAAATGGTGAGGAATCCTCTCAAAATGGCGGAGGGGAGCCCCAAAATGCTGAAGAATCTTCTCAAAATGGTTCAGGGGAGCCCCAAAATGCTGAGGAATCTTCTCAAAATGGTGAAGGGGAGCCCCAAAATGGTGAGGAATCTTCTCAAAATGGCGGAGGGGAGACCCCCAAAATGGGATGAGGAGCCCCAAAATGGCAGGGTAACCTCTCAAAATGGCGGAGGGGAGCCCCAAAATGCTGAGGAATCTTCTCAAAATGGCGGAGGGGAGCCCCAAAATGCTGAGGAATCTTCTCAAAATGGCGGAGGGGAGCCCCAAAATGCTGAGGAATCTTCTCAAAATGGCGGAGGGGAGCCCCAAAATGCTGAGGAATCTTCTCAAAATGGCGGAGGGGAGCCCCAAAATGCTGAGGAATCTTCTCAAAATGGCGGAGGGGAGCCCCAAAATGCTGAGGAATCTTCTCAAAATGGCGGAGGGGAGCCCCAAAATGCTGAGGAATCTTCTCAAAATGGCGGAGGGGAGCCCCAAAATGCTGAGGAATCTTCTCAAAATGGCGGAGGGGAGCCCCAAAATGCTGAGGAATCTTCTCAAAATGGCGGAGGGGAGCCCCAAAATGCTGAGGAATCTTCTCAAAATGGCGGAGGGGAGCCCCAAAATGCTGAGGAATCTTCTCAAAATGGCGGAGGGGAGCCCCAAAATGCTGAGGAATCTTCTCAAAATGGCGGAGGGGAGCCCCAAAATGCTGAGGAATCTTCTCAAAATGGCGGAGGGGAGCCCCAAAATGCTGAGGAATCTTCTCAAAATGGCGGAGGGGAGCCCCAAAATGCTGAGGAATCTTCTCAAAATGGCGGAGGGGAGCCCCAAAATGCTGAGGAATCTTCTCAAAATGGCGGAGGGGAGCCCCAAAATGCTGAGGAATCTTCTCAAAATGGCGGAGGGGAGCCCCAAAATGCTGAGGAATCTTCTCAAAATGGCGGAGGGGAGCCCCAAAATGCTGAGGAATCTTCTCAAAATGGCGGAGGGGAGCCCCAAAATGCTGAGGAATCTTCTCAAAATGGCGGAGGGGAGCCCCAAAATGCTGAGGAATCTTCTCAAAATGGCGGAGGGGAGCCCCAAAATGCTGAGGAATCTTCTCAAAATGGCGGAGGGGAGCCCCAAAATGCTGAGGAATCTTCTCAAAATGGCGGAGGGGAGCCCCAAAATGCTGAGGAATCTTCTCAAAATGGCGGAGGGGAGCCCCAAAATGCTGAGGAATCTTCTCAAAATGGCGGAGGGGAGCCCCAAAATGCTGAGGAATCTTCTCAAAATGGCGGAGGGGAGCCCCAAAATGCTGAGGAATCTTCTCAAAATGGCGGAGGGGAGCCCCAAAATGCTGAGGAATCTTCTCAAAATGGCGGAGGGGAGCCCCAAAATGCTGAGGAATCTTCTCAAAATGGCGGAGGGGAGCCCCAAAATGCTGAGGAATCTTCTCAAAATGGCGGAGGGGAGCCCCAAAATGCTGAGGAATCTTCTCAAAATGGCGGAGGGGAGCCCCAAAATGCTGAGGAATCTTCTCAAAATGGCGGAGGGGAGCCCCAAAATGCTGAGGAATCTTCTCAAAATGGCGGAGGGGAGCCCCAAAATGCTGAGGAATCTTCTCAAAATGGCGGAGGGGAGCCCCAAAATGCTGAGGAATCTTCTCAAAATGGCGGAGGGGAGCCCCAAAATGCTGAGGAATCTTCTCAAAATGGCGGAGGGGAGCCCCAAAATGCTGAGGAATCTTCTCAAAATGGCGGAGGGGAGCCCCAAAATGCTGAGGAATCTTCTCAAAATGGCGGAGGGGAGCCCCAAAATGCTGAGGAATCTTCTCAAAATGGCGGAGGGGAGCCCCAAAATGCTGAGGAATCTTCTCAAAATGGCGGAGGGGAGCCCCAAAATGCTGAGGAATCTTCTCAAAATGGCGGAGGGGAGCCCCAAAATGCTGAGGAATCTTCTCAAAATGGCGGAGGGGAGCCCCAAAATGCTGAGGAATCTTCTCAAAATGGCGGAGGGGAGCCCCAAAATGCTGAGGAATCTTCTCAAAATGGCGGAGGGGAGCCCCAAAATGCTGAGGAATCTTCTCAAAATGGCGGAGGGGAGCCCCAAAATGCTGAGGAATCTTCTCAAAATGGCGGAGGGGAGCCCCAAAATGCTGAGGAATCTTCTCAAAATGGCGGAGGGGAGCCCCAAAATGCTGAGGAATCTTCTCAAAATGGCGGAGGGGAGCCCCAAAATGCTGAGGAATCTTCTCAAAATGGCGGAGGGGAGCCCCAAAATGCTGAGGAATCTTCTCAAAATGGCGGAGGGGAGCCCCAAAATGCTGAGGAATCTTCTCAAAATGGCGGAGGGGAGCCCCAAAATGCTGAGGAATCTTCTCAAAATGGCGGAGGGGAGCCCCAAAATGCTGAGGAATCTTCTCAAAATGGCGGAGGGGAGCCCCAAAATGCTGAGGAATCTTCTCAAAATGGCGGAGGGGAGCCCCAAAATGCTGAGGAATCTTCTCAAAATGGCGGAGGGGAGCCCCAAAATGCTGAGGAATCTTCTCAAAATGGCGGAGGGGAGCCCCAAAATGCTGAGGAATCTTCTCAAAATGGCGGAGGGGAGCCCCAAAATGCTGAGGAATCTTCTCAAAATGGCGGAGGGGAGCCCCAAAATGCTGAGGAATCTTCTCAAAATGGCGGAGGGGAGCCCCAAAATGCTGAGGAATCTTCTCAAAATGGCGGAGGGGAGCCCCAAAATGCTGAGGAATCTTCTCAAAATGGCGGAGGGGAGCCCCAAAATGCTGAGGAATCTTCTCAAAATGGCGGAGGGGAGCCCCAAAATGCTGAGGAATCTTCTCAAAATGGCGGAGGGGAGCCCCAAAATGCTGAGGAATCTTCTCAAAATGGCGGAGGGGAGCCCCAAAATGCTGAGGAATCTTCTCAAAATGGCGGAGGGGAGCCCCAAAATGCTGAGGAATCTTCTCAAAATGGCGGAGGGGAGCCCCAAAATGCTGAGGAATCTTCTCAAAATGGCGGAGGGGAGCCCCAAAATGCTGAGGAATCTTCTCAAAATGGCGGAGGGGAGCCCCAAAATGCTGAGGAATCTTCTCAAAATGGCGGAGGGGAGCCCCAAAATGCTGAGGAATCTTCTCAAAATGGCGGAGGGGAGCCCCAAAATGCTGAGGAATCTTCTCAAAATGGCGGAGGGGAGCCCCAAAATGCTGAGGAATCTTCTCAAAATGGCGGAGGGGAGCCCCAAAATGCTGAGGAATCTTCTCAAAATGGCGGAGGGGAGCCCCAAAATGCTGAGGAATCTTCTCAAAATGGCGGAGGGGAGCCCCAAAATGCTGAGGAATCTTCTCAAAATGGCGGAGGGGAGCCCCAAAATGCTGAGGAATCTTCTCAAAATGGCGGAGGGGAGCCCCAAAATGCTGAGGAATCTTCTCAAAATGGCGGAGGGGAGCCCCAAAATGCTGAGGAATCTTCTCAAAATGGCGGAGGGGAGCCCCAAAATGCTGAGGAATCTTCTCAAAATGGCGGAGGGGAGCCCCAAAATGCTGAGGAATCTTCTCAAAATGGCGGAGGGGAGCCCCAAAATGCTGAGGAATCTTCTCAAAATGGCGGAGGGGAGCCCCAAAATGCTGAGGAATCTTCTCAAAATGGCGGAGGGGAGCCCCAAAATGCTGAGGAATCTTCTCAAAATGGCGGAGGGGAGCCCCAAAATGCTGAGGAATCTTCTCAAAATGGCGGAGGGGAGCCCCAAAATGCTGAGGAATCTTCTCAAAATGGCGGAGGGGAGCCCCAAAATGCTGAGGAATCTTCTCAAAATGGCGGAGGGGAGCCCCAAAATGCTGAGGAATCTTCTCAAAATGGCGGAGGGGAGCCCCAAAATGCTGAGGAATCTTCTCAAAATGGCGGAGGGGAGCCCCAAAATGCTGAGGAATCTTCTCAAAATGGCGGAGGGGAGCCCCAAAATGCTGAGGAATCTTCTCAAAATGGCGGAGGGGAGCCCCAAAATGCTGAGGAATCTTCTCAAAATGGCGGAGGGGAGCCCCAAAATGCTGAGGAATCTTCTCAAAATGGCGGAGGGGAGCCCCAAAATGCTGAGGAATCTTCTCAAAATGGCGGAGGGGAGCCCCAAAATGCTGAGGAATCTTCTCAAAATGGCGGAGGGGAGCCCCAAAATGCTGAGGAATCTTCTCAAAATGGCGGAGGGGAGCCCCAAAATGCTGAGGAATCTTCTCAAAATGGCGGAGGGGAGCCCCAAAATGCTGAGGAATCTTCTCAAAATGGCGGAGGGGAGCCCCAAAATGCTGAGGAATCTTCTCAAAATGGCGGAGGGGAGCCCCAAAATGCTGAGGAATCTTCTCAAAATGGCGGAGGGGAGCCCCAAAATGCTGAGGAATCTTCTCAAAATGGCGGAGGGGAGCCCCAAAATGCTGAGGAATCTTCTCAAAATGGCGGAGGGGAGCCCCAAAATGCTGAGGAATCTTCTCAAAATGGCGGAGGGGAGCCCCAAAATGCTGAGGAATCTTCTCAAAATGGCGGAGGGGAGCCCCAAAATGCTGAGGAATCTTCTCAAAATGGCGGAGGGGAGCCCCAAAATGCTGAGGAATCTTCTCAAAATGGCGGAGGGGAGCCCCAAAATGCTGAGGAATCTTCTCAAAATGGCGGAGGGGAGCCCCAAAATGCTGAGGAATCTTCTCAAAATGGCGGAGGGGAGCCCCAAAATGCTGAGGAATCTTCTCAAAATGGCGGAGGGGAGCCCCAAAATGCTGAGGAATCTTCTCAAAATGGCGGAGGGGAGCCCCAAAATGCTGAGGAATCTTCTCAAAATGGCGGAGGGGAGCCCCAAAATGCTGAGGAATCTTCTCAAAATGGCGGAGGGGAGCCCCAAAATGCTGAGGAATCTTCTCAAAATGGCGGAGGGGAGCCCCAAAATGCTGAGGAATCTTCTCAAAATGGCGGAGGGGAGCCCCAAAATGCTGAGGAATCTTCTCAAAATGGCGGAGGGGAGCCCCAAAATGCTGAGGAATCTTCTCAAAATGGCGGAGGGGAGCCCCAAAATGCTGAGGAATCTTCTCAAAATGGCGGAGGGGAGCCCCAAAATGCTGAGGAATCTTCTCAAAATGGCGGAGGGGAGCCCCAAAATGCTGAGGAATCTTCTCAAAATGGCGGAGGGGAGCCCCAAAATGGTGAGGAATCTTCTCAAAACGGAGGGGGAGACCCCCAAAAACGGGTTGAGGAGCCCCAAAATGGTGAGGAATCCTCTCAAAATGGCGGAGGGGAGCCCCAAAATGGTGAGGAATCCTCTCAAAATGGAGGGGGAGACCCCCAAAATGGGATGAGGAGCCCCAAAATGGCAGGGTAACCTCTCAAAATGGCGGAGGGGAGCCCCAC